AACTTTTTTCATATTTTTTTCTATTATTATTTTTTCTTTACATAATGCAATTATTTTCAATATTATTAAATTTATCTGATAGATACGCTTGTTCATCTTTTGTATCAAACAAACATTCCTGTGACCTAAAAATTCCCTAGACACAAAATCTTTTTTAAAAAATAAAGTTTTTCCTTGTATCTTGTATATATATTCTTTTTCACATGCACAACTATATACTATTTTCTTTTATCCTATTCAATCTTCATCAAATTCATTTTTCCTTGTATTTTAAAAATTCTCTTTTATATTCAATATACAAGGATACAAGATTTCCTTTAGAAAATAACTTCTTTCATAACTTCTTATTTATAAATTTTAACGTCATTGTTTTCCACACAGTGCAATTCTTCTTATTCCATTTAATCTTCATTAAATGAATTGCCCCATTAATTGAATGTTTTAAAAATTTTCCAAATATCAATTCTTCAAAGAAATATAAACATTTCTCATTATTTTTTTTTTTTTTTGCACATCATCAATATCTCAGCAAACGAACCTTAAAATAAAATCTTTTCAAATCCTAAAAATTTTCTAGATATTAATTTCAGAAAAATTTAAATTTTAAAATTTTAATTATTCTTCTAATCAATTATTCATTCTTCTTTTTTCCATATAAAATAATTCTTAATTCTTCCCTAGATACCAATTTTATAAAAATCTTAAATCAGCTTTCTAATCAGAATAGCACCATTCATTTTCCTTTTTTCACATAAAATACCGTAAGAAATCACCCTAAAGCAAAATCTTTACATTTTTCAACTCTCTGACCTCAATTTTCAACAACCCAATCTATCGTCCCACAGAGATTACTAGTACTGCGAAAATGACACCCTCGCGGCTAGCAATTAACCCGAGCGCATTTCTTACGTAATTCTCCCAAACGTTCACTCCACTCCTTCGTGCACGAACAAACACATGTATAATATTTATAAAGTTCAGTGAGACGATGCGATTATAGGCCCATTGACGTCGTTGGCGCATCACGCGAGCCCATTTACCTACTTTTGCCTTGGCCACGCAACAAGCTCTTTTTCTCTTTCATATTGTACACATGTACATTTGTCTATAATATTTTATTTCTCAAAGATTTAACGACAATATCCTACTATTAACCGAAAATCTCATTCTGTTACTTTATCATATAAAAAGCACATAAATATGTTCATTTTGTTGATTTTATGGTTTTTTTTTTTTATCTCTTCCAGTAATTAACTGGGAGTGGTTCAATATTTCAAAGTTAAAAAGATGAACATGATAGGCTATCAAGGTTCATACCTTGAACCTTATAGCCATAGTTTTAATATTGCTCTTTAAAATGGTAAAAATTAAAAAAAGTAACTTAATAAGTTTTATTGCGTTTTTCTTATATGATCTAGAATAATATAAGATAAAATAAAAAAAACCTTATTTTAAGATTAGCATACATTATTTGCAATGTTAAGTAGAATTCAAATTCATTGACGTAGATATATGTCCTTATTTTTTTAGTTGATTTTTTCAATATTCATATATGAATGATAAAAATTGTAATATAATAACTGAAAAATCTAAGATTTGATTTTATTATACTATTATTACTTTTTCAATGAATAATTAGATAGATATAAATACTACTATAGCCATTAATAATTTATAAATTATTTATTGTGATAGAAAATATAGACACATTGAAAATAGCACATTTTTAAAATATACTAAATAAAAAAAAGAGAGAAAAAAATTGTGTTATTCAAAATTCAATTGACAACTATAGAATATACATTTATTTCTATCTATTACGATTTCTCTCTTTCTTTCCCTTTCCGTTCAAAAAGCCTTGTCACAGGATGTGAGAAAGCGGCTGGCACTACGCTAATTAAAATTCGCCACTTCTTCGAGTCTGCAGCCACGCAACACGCCCATTCCCCGCGAACGAATCGATGGAATCCTCGCTATTCCCGTCCTTGCCTGCGGTTTATCGCATTTCAATCGGATGAAAGGTGGAACACACTTCCCCTTCGCGGAGATTCCTTCACGGTGAAAGAGGTTTGATGGGATTGGATCGAGGTTTGATAATTTGACTCGAGATTCTGATAGGATTCTTGCTTGTAAGGGATTGCTTGCTCGTATAATGAAAACATGATTTCTGGTTTAGAGAATTCTGTCTTTCATTAAGTTTTTTTTTTCTTCTTTTTGTATTTTTAATCTATTCATAATGTTTTGATAATTTAAAAATTATATCTAAATGTTTGAATTTTATTATGAGAAAAAAATATTATGATGTAAATAAATGATAATTTCATACAATATTTGAAAAGAATAATTTATCGATAATTGCATGAACGAAAATTGATATTGATCTTACATGAAAAATTTATGAAATTTTTAAACTGAACAAACTTCACGTTGAAATTTTTGAAAAATTGCTATGTGTTATCAATTTTAAGAAATTTGACTAATGAATGATATGCGAATGACTTTAAAGTAGAATATATAAACAATGATAACTTAACTCTGAAAATAATTATACAATTATAATAAAGAATATGAAATAAAAATATATGTAACGATAAAAATGAAAAAATGTAAAAACATTTCTTAACAATATCATCTAAATCAATGATCAAATATACTATATTTGATTAATAATCATGATTGATTATTCAAATTCATCCATTGAATTTAAAACGAAAAATAAATTCTAAAATAAAATGATAATCAATTATGCTTCAATATAATTCACTGTACAAATATCTATATAATAAAAATCTAACCTAATCATGTGGATTAACCAAAAACATTTCTACCGCCATATTTGATCGGTAACAATCAGAAACACATTTATTTGATCTATGAGAAAAAAATAAATTCTACTACACTAATATTCAATTTCACAGTATAATATAAACGTCCAATTAATAGTTTATATTTTTAACAATAAAAATCTAATCTAACCGTATTAACCAAAAATATTTCTACTATATTTGATTATCATAAACACAAATCTAAAATCTTTTTTAATCCAAAACAGACGTAGAATTCGTTCAAAACAGTTTCGTCACACCGACAAAAGAAAACTTTTGTAATCAGTTCGCGCGGCCGTGTTAGTCTAATTAGTATTCCGCGACGATATCGTAAGACGCTTTAGGTAAAGGAAAATTTAGCTTCCTTAACAACGCCGCCTCGAGGCTCCCGCATGAAATCTACAATTACCGACAGTGCACGGGCGCGAGCACGCTCGTGAACTCGTGTCAATCCTCGATGCACTTTATTGCACGCGATACAAAGGGCAAAAGCATAATAAGGTAAAGTATACAGTTTAATTAGGATCCTGTGCCAGCGCGGGTTCCCATTAAGCCATTTGCATGTAAACCATTCATCGTGGAGTAGCCTCTCTAATAGTAACGTAATTTCGAGTGTGGCGAATAAATATCCGTGGGAACATCGACTTGGTCTGTTTGTCGCGAATAAAACAAATGAGTTTTCATATAAAGTTTTACCATATATTTTTGTTTCGTTTTCTTTTGGTTGCTTATTCACGGTTTATGTTCAAAGTTTGAAAGCGTATTACTTTATTGCTCTATTGAAAATTCGCGACCAAGAAACGATCGTTATTTTTTATTGAAATTTTTATTATAGTTAAGTTAATTTAAAATATGAATTCATTTTCATGAATCATCGAATAAGAATTTTTTAAATAAAGATTTTTTAATTAATTACATATCATTGACACTAAAAAATTTTAAATTTGAATAATAAAGATTTATTAAAAGCGCCTAGTGTAAAATAATTCCAAAACAATTCATAAAATTCTACAAAGCTATTCTAGAATTTATTATCCTAGAATCATCTCCTGATTTAAAGATAATTTGAAACGCTATGTTATGAAAATTTAGCTATCCGCCTGTGAAACTTACTGCAACAGATAGAACTGATACTTTTAAATAATAAAAATAAAAAAATATTTCAACTTATTTCATTTAGAATAAAATATCATTTGTATATTTTTTATTTACATTGAATTTTTATAATTTACGTTATTATAAACTTTTAATATCGAATAAAATTTCAAAATATATTTTTAACATCATTAAATTTATGCTATTTAATAATTTATAGTTCTATTTAATAATTCTTTTATTTCGTTATAAAATATTTTTGATTGTATTTACATATGATAATTGCTCGCTATTTCAATAGTACATAAAAGATATTATGGTGTTTAGTATAACAAGGAACACAGTGCACAAGAGAACAATATTCGCAACATAACAAAACAATTACATAAGATAATATGGAACAAGTTATGTATGGAACAAGAACCGGAAATTTAATGTCTGTGCTGATGATATGGAACGTGGATTTCATACAGTGAAACCCTATCTATGTAACTTTCAATGCGATGTTTAACCAATATTTTTTCTTACACGACTATAAAAATTCTCAATGTTTGTTAACTTTTTAAAAATTGATATATCTACGTCGATAATCAAAATTGTAATGATAATAAATTAGATTTTAATTGAATAAATATTAAGATTTTAATTTCTATATTGAATAATAAAAAAAAATTAATCCTTCTTTATATTAAACTAACTTTACTTAAACTAACAAAAGCTAACCTCCAAGTTGAACTAAAGATTAGATATCGAGAATAATAGAACTTTTATATGAATTGCTTCCTGAAAGTTGCAGAAGGCTATAAATAAACGTAAGTTCATCTAAAAGCAAACACATACGACGCTTAAATCGACGAAGAACCTCATTGGAAAGATAGTGTATACGCAAATAGTAGTTCCGGTAATAACAGTACTGCCAATCAAGTATCACAGGTGCTATTCGCTCGTAGTAAAGGTAGGTTAGTATTCACACGATGTGAAAAGAAAAACATGGCGAAAGAAAGAGACAAATAAATAATATGAATAACATTTCTAAATACATATAATTATCTATACGGGAAATAATGATACATCACTTACCTTCTCTCGCTTTGAGATATACAGTGTTTGCTACAATGTTCTCCAACTCCATCAATTCCAGCTTGATCGAGTTTATGCGGCCGAATCAACGGGGAGAAACCTAGTGAGCGACGAGCAAGAAGGGGAAGAGCGTAGGCCTCGAGCGGAAGTTGGAATGGCTGATGTCGTTTTACGGGGTTGATCACCCTGTCGGGCTCCAGTAGACCAGCTCCCATCTGCGGCCCCAGGACACCACCAGGGCCGATCAGTCCCCCTTCACCGAGGACCAAGGACAACAGGAAGGACGCCGACAAGCTGTTGGACGGCTTGATCGACTCAACTCGAGTTTGAGGTTCGAGATTGTCCGGCGTAAGTCCCGCCGTTTCGCGCTGACACCGTAGGAACCACCTATCGGTCGAACTCGAGTTCGTTGGCCCCCTCTGTCGGTCAAAAGCCGACGTTTCCCGCGCGCCACGGAATATATATATAGCAAGCACGCAAACGAGTTACACGAAACCGGACTTTTCACTTGTCACACTTTATCTTGATTTCCTTGATCCACGGTAATCCCAGGGTCAAGGAGCAGGTTTCTCGAAAAACACTTGTGCCAGCGAACTTCTTCCGTATCAATGGTGGATCGTTGCATTTACGTGTGTTCGCACCGTAACTCTCTCTAATCCACAAAAAAGAAACGTATTAAATGAAGCTTCATGGAGATGCGGCAATCGGTAAGTCGTTACGGAACCAAACAATCAGAATGCTCAGCGCTCGTCTTGTTTTATATGTTGTGTAACCTTTCTATCTTACTCTTTTTCTTATCCCGTGACTGAAGATGATACACAATTGTAATACGCATTCACGTTAAGAGAAGAAAGACTATAGTTGTAATCACAAATGTCGTTATGATTCGTCGTTATTCGTCTATTTCTTTCTTTGAATTGACAATACTTCGTGTTGTCCTCTTTAAATAGCAGAGGAGATCGTGCACAAGACACGCTAACGATTGCTTCCAATAATCGTTACCACAGCAGGTCCTAGTGACACGTTAGCATGCCATCATAAAAATGTCACGTGTATTCTGCGGATTCACGTACAAACACGACACTCGTATGCACGTAGCAAGGCGCCTTTCACTTTAACGACGGCGCGGGAGATGCCTGCGCATCCGCTAGATTCCTCTTTACAGATCGTGTCTTCGATTGTCGATTCGTGAATGTCGAAAGACTGATCACCCACAGATTTCTTCCTTTCTCTCCATTGAATCTCACAGTGATATTACCGATATCGAAGTACAATGGAATACAGAAAAACTGTTGTAATTCCGTGTATTGAAAACACGAATTTAATCTTCGCTCTAGCAAACGGATCGAGATTTTATGTTCTGTATACAAGGTGCTTTTGACGAATACCTTTCTATTTGTAAATTTCCAGTTTCCTTTCGTGTGAATGCCGCTCCGTGAAGCGTTTAATGTATTCCTCTTTACATCGATCCCTGATGTACATTCTAGAATGAGATTTCAGATTGGCCGTTATTAGTGTGAAAGGATTTGCGGGCGTTCACAGTGGCGTAGCCAACAACATTATTACAAAATTAGAAATTTTTATTAATTTATAACATGAATTGAATCTTAAGAATAATAATCCTCATTCCTGCCGAAATATTCCTAACCTCTCAAACAGACATGGCCGACTGTATACGATGATCAAAAGATGATTACTATTTAAAATGTTTGCTACGCCACTGCTTCCTTGCGACAGGAATGAGAGGATATCTCGATCGTCTGCGCCGGTCGTTCGTTTCTTTGCGTGGCGTGAGTGAATTTTAAAAAATCACTATGCTCCTCGCGCCTCTGCCGATTTATCTACAACGCGCAACAGACACACGCACTTATCGTTGCGCGTTCTGCATGCGAAACTATAGGCGCGCACATGTGCGTGAACACTTTGCGCAGCAGGTGCGCTACGGGGATAAAGATAACGACGAGACTAACCGCATCGTCGGCGTAATATTCTACGCGGTAATCTAATAACTTTTTCCAGAGCTCGATTCCCACCGATCATCTCTCTCATCCTTTCTCTTTACACGTCTCTTTTGTACATCACGATGATAGAAATATGTAAGTACATGGAGAAGGAAATTTAAATCGAGGATATAATAGACATTTTTCTTATACAAGAATTTAATCTTAGGATATAAATGTTCAGAATTTTTACGATTGAAAAATCTTTTATTTATTGTACATAATATTTTTGATCATTGATTGTTAATCACAACATTGAAGAGATAAAATATCAAAAAAATATGCGATATTAAAAATGTAAAAATATAGAATATAAAGATTCTAATAAAAACAAACTTCATTATCATATCCTGTATATCCCCACACTACTTGATATAACCCAGTCATGATCATAGTCATCGAATGGAGTTCCAGTGGAATTAGATTCAAACTAGATGGATTCTCATCAAAGTGGCTCTTATGGCTTGCTGCATTACACCGGTAAATCCTATTAAACTGCAACAGCTAACGAATGGGTAACCCGACACGGACTCTAAATTAAGTAACAGGCGAAAAAAGGGGAAGTGGGGAATAGGCAGAAGGTGGCGGCGGAAGAGGAACGACGAAGATCGTTAAAGGTTTTAAACGCTTTTTCTCGATGACGCGATTCCGGTACTATAGAACCGGATTAGGAAGCGGTAAACAATGATGATAACGAAGAAAAAAAAACACTAATAATAATAATATTATTGTGAGAGAAATAACGATAATCAGTTTCCTGATTTTCCTATCTTTTTTGATTAATTAAAATTTTTTTCTCCTTTCTTTATTTTTTTTTAATTTATTATTAAAATCTATTATTATTACTATTAATCAATAATTAATGAATTTCAAACAAATTAATATGATATCTGTATACATATAGTATATTTTCTAGAAAAATAACACAATTACCAATAACATTTTAGTATTAGAAGTATTATTTTAGTATTAGAATAAAATTCTAATACTAAATAGTGAATCGACAATTTGATTATTTGAATTAGATATAATATTAATATTCCTTTCCTATAAATGATGTCACATGTCCTATATCACACAACTACCCAATGCAGGTGTCTCAGAAAAAACTTCGATCGCATTAATCATCGAACAGATTATTCTTGCTTGATCGTTTGAACGATGAAGAATGAAACTGGTATTTCTAACCGTGAAACATAGAAATTGCCCACGCATTTTATAAATAATAAATTTTCTCTATTCCGAATTTTATATATCCTTCCAAAATGATGTATTCACATAACGTTTTACTTCTCTATCACTCTCCCTTACTAACTATTGAAACTATCATCGTTGTGTTAAAAGAAAATAAAATACTTGTTGTCATGTATGGTTAGATATAGTTATGAATATGAGAAAGAAAGCTACGAAGGGATATTTGTTTTCTGTCGATTGATTCGCAGGGGATTATATGTGGAAATAGAAACTGCCAATAATCGATCAATCGTGGTGGGCACCGTTGCACATATATATATACGTATATATGTCTCTTTCATATACGTGGGAAACATTGATATCTGTTAAAAACATCTACGACGTGTCAGTAATGCGTTTTATACGTAACGATTATACCACAGACATAACACAGGAAATTAAGAAAAGCAAAAAGAGCAAAGAGAAAAGAGAAAATTGAGAAAGAGAAAATTCAAAAAAGACTAATAAGAAATCTTTGAAGAGAAAAATAAGGAAAGAATAAATAAGAAATTTACAAAAAATATATATATAAATGATTTGAAAGAATAAAAAGAATAGAAAAAAGTTATCAACAACGTAACAAAAATATCAATGGCACATACACAGAAAATATACAATTATGGAAACAAAGGTTTTTTCAAGTGTAAATTTAATTTCTTATCGCACATGTATATTTAAAAATCAGAAAATGAAAAAACACACGTTTCTTTAATTAAAACGAAATTTAATTGTATTTAAGAAAGAGAAACAATAATTATGTCACTGATTTATATCTATATATTTTTTTATGTTCGAATTACGAATAATATAATAACATATAAAAAAATGATTTAATGGAAAATTTTAATCGCGAATTACCATTGTCAAGATGCAAATTGTTTACCTATATTTGATGGTTGCTTGCGTCAGAGAATTTGCAGAAATAAATAGCGAACAATGCAACACTATCGATACGTTCCAGACAAGAATCTTATATATCTAGCCATTGGAAAGATCACAATAATGTAATAATTTTAATGTTTTTTTTTCCCAAGAACAAGTGAATTTTCACAATATCCTTGTTTTAAGACGAAAAAAAAGGAACAATTGGAGAGGAGATGCGACAGAGGAGACACGATGAAAAAGCACGCGGCAATGTAACAACGCGAGAAGGCGCGGAAAGCTCGTAACTCGCCAATGAAAGGGGCGATTGAATAAAAGACAATGAACATCGATGGCAGCGCGGGCGAGTTCATTGAAAGGGAGATGGAACTTTTGCCCGCGAATCGAGACGTATTATAGAATGGCAGACACATGTTTTCCCAGTGCACAAAATGCCTCTTGTGCGCGTGCATCAAATTGAAGAATCAAATAGGGAGAAACAGAGGGGGCTCTTTGTCCGTCGCAGACTGAAAACACTTTCCGTCGCCGCACTTCGAGCGAACAACTTAATTTGACACTGTCGGTATTACTACTGTATGTTTTTCTTCCTTTTCTATCTCTCTTTCATTGTTGTTCCACTCACGAGAGAATAATAAAGACCGAAGAGTTTGATGATATTAATGACAAAATAAATAATGAGATGGATTTAATGCATAACGATCAAGGAAATAAGAATAGGTCGTTGATTATAAACTTGGAAATATTTATAGACGATAAGAAATATTCTAGATGACACACAAAAGCCCGCCTAAATATTCTCGTGATTGAAACGTGACTTTACTACGAACAATCACGAGATGCCGGCTTTCAAAATCTATCACACGAGGTAACACATGCAGAACGGTATATAAAATCTCGGAATAGACGAATTTATGACAAAAATATAGCATGCAATGTGCACATGGGTGTGTAATGTACAATTAAAATTTTCGTGAATACGAAAAAGGAAAAAGAAGAAAGTAGAGAAGAAGAAAGATGGGAATGAGAGACGCCGTTACCGACGGAGCGTATCGTGTCTCGCACGTCATGGGCACGAGTCAGTACAATATCATTTCGCGAAACACGAGACGGGCGAAAACGATCTTACGATGTTTTTCATGGGGATAGGCCGGTTGAGCGAAGAAGAAAGACACGTATGGTTTTGGTACACCCGATATAATGTAACACACACCGATAGCAGAGCACCGTGCGGTCGTAACGGCGACACGAAGAAAGCGCAATGGCCGACCGCTGCACCTCTGCTGGTAGCTTCGATCCTTCCTGGCCACGAGGACTTCGTACACACTTGATCGTTCAGGGATCGTCACGCGCGCACGATACGCCTTCTCCGAGTCCCTGAGACCGTTAAAATCCGTGGATGTTTTTTTTCCGTTTCACGAACGCAGCCAGGGACGGTTCGTACTGTCCGATCGTATGAACCCGCTGCCACTCGCACCAGACCGCCACGCACCGTCCCGTCCGCTGGATAAAAACCGACTGACTGGCATGCTCCTTCTCGAGCCGCGATGCACCGCCACGGATGAGAAGGTTAGGTGGAGGGGACATGGTTGGGCACCGAGGACGACGCCTCCACCCGGAGGTGTGACAGAGACGCAGATAGACGCGCGGACGACTCCGATTGGGCGTGGTAGAGTCCCTAGGCTCGTCTTTGAATACCGACTGCGGGTGCGATCCTCGCGGACGCCATATTGATTTAATCGCTCGCGCGGCAATTTTAAACACGTGTTTCATTAATTTCAAATTTTCGTATTTGATATTTTGTAAAACAAAAATATTAATCGAAATTATTATAAATAATACGATATACTTAATCAATCAGGAATTATTTAATAATGTTATACAATAATAATAATAGAAATAAAAATTGTATTTATCATTGCACATGGATACAGGTCGGTAAAGTGATTTCGCGCGAAAACCAACGTCATTACGGCGCTACTCTTTGTCTTTATGATCCTTTGAAATGCGACTGTTCTGTGAATGCAATCGATCGAGACGCGATTCGAAAAAGAAATAACAAATGATGATCGAATCATAATATACTAGCGTAATCGGCTTTTCGTTGAAATCTCCAAGGTGCGATGACGCGGCGTCTATTACCGGGCGAGAAAGATGCTTGGTATTTTTCACGCCTTTACGGACCGACTCTAATTTCGATTCTTTCAGAGCCCTCGAAAATTACCCCCTTGGCAGGCCGACGAAAAAAAGAGAAAGAAACTAAATAAAACGAGCAATCCGACCAGACGTCGCTTGCAACAATGCATCTGGAGTATCAATCACGTATGTCATTAATGGTTGCGGTTGCGGTTACAAGGCATCGAGAACTATAATTCAGGCGGGTCGGTGTACCCGTGATACAGCGCATTACGTGGCGAAACGCGATTTACGATGTCCATTGTCGCCGACGATACAAAAAAAGACCGTTTCATTTTTGCACGAACCTGTCGGTCTTCGTTCTACTGCAATTTTGTAATTTATCATCGTGATAAGAAAATCTCTGTTCGCTATAATCCTTCCACGCAGTAAAAAGGGAAATGGAATTCGAGGAGAGATTTTTATAAGTTACAAGTGGAAAATATTCGAAACAGACAAAGTTCTCGAAGATGATCGTGACACAGCTCTACATTTTATTCGGTGATGTAGATCAATTATTTCCTAATCTATCTTATGCAACTTTACCGTGTCTTTACCACGAATTCAGCCCTGGTTATTTCGACATCGGTTCGTTCATATTTCTCGCAAAATACGAATAGTAAATTTTTTAAATGATTTTATAATTATTCGATAAAATATTATTTTATAATTATTAGATAAAATAACAAATATAACGACGAATAATAATACGGAAATTTAATTCAAATAATTCTGATCAATTTTAAAATATTGTTTAATTTCGAGTAAAATAAATCACCATTTCTACGCGATTTTTATAGAGGTATCAGGAAAGCGTGAAATGGAATGATCAGACCGTGTACTCGAAACGGCGTGATAGTTTCGCCAAATTGCCAAAGTTGTTAATTAAACGTTGATCAGTGGAAATTTCTCAAGTAGGAAATTCCTCTCGCGTAAAATATCGTGAAGTGTTGAACTTTCGGGGGAGGGGGAGGGGAGGGGGAATATCGTGGAAATTTGGCCGCGAGATCGAGCCAGCGAATTAAGTCCCTCTTCTCCCATCCCGTCCCCGCCTTCGGCGGATGGGTGGCTCGTATCGGAAGTATGTCAAGAATTTAGGCCTGGGCCATTTTCACTAATAGCTCATACGATAATTGCTCGTTCGTATTTGCCACGATTACGCCACGTAAATGAACCGTGTCAAAAGCTGCCTGTTACTCGAATTATACGATTTCTTTTCCTTTTTTTTTTTTTTTTGCCAGCATCCTCGTGACGGCGGCGGTGAGGTCATGATCAAGTGGAGAACGGCGAAAAAGAGGCGCTTCCCCACGCTTCCTTCAATTCAGAGCTCTCGTTTCTTCGTTTCTCCGCGATGGAAATTTCTGAATTTATCAGCAACGTCCTCGAACCATTCACGCGTCCATTGATTCCGGTAATTTAATTGCCGACCTCTGTTGACTTTTCGGATTAATTTCAATCTATTCAAGGTCTTTCCTCTTTTTTCTCTCTCTCTTTTTTTTCAATCAATTCAATTTTTTTAGTAGAGCGGAGCAATGGAAGGAATTGTTGAGCAATCGTGAGCAAATTTTGTAAAATACGAGAAATAAAATTGTTCGAGTAAAGTAGTTTAATTTTTCCAAGTATATATTTTTAGTATACAATTGTACAATTCGATCCTCGTTTTTTCTCGTAATTTTTACAAAATTACAAAATAAACTTTGGATTTTCTCAAAAGTGATATCGTTAAAACTCGTTTTTTTTAAAAAAAATCGGCCCTCGTTAAATCGTTCCGTGTACGATATCGAACTAGATTTTTCGGGTCATAAACGATCAGAGTGAGTATTGTGCAACGAGTCAATCATACGAGACCGGTGTATCGAATAACGTGGACCACGTTCCACAGGCCGCAGAGGCTTTCTAAGCTGCGGATCTTTTTCTCTCGAGATCGAATTGCCTCTGGCCGGGACACACGAGCCTCCCCACGGATTCACAGTTGGAAAAAAAAATGTGCGTGCACGCGCTTCTGCTCATCCTTCGATAACCGATCAACCTGCGATGCCACGTCCTGTCCAAAATGGAATTCGAAAAATCATCTCGAAAACATTGCTCATTAGTTGGACAACACGGATCGATTCTCGAATATTGTATTTTATATATTTATAATTATTTATATATTTCTTTTTTTTAGGAGAGAATTTAAAGTAAGTTTAGATACGTTTGCACAAAATTTTACGTAGGATAATTTTTTTTTTTTTTTGCGAATTTTAAAACGGCGCACCTCGAACATTGTATTTTTTTTTTTTTCAAAATTTGTCATTCGACGCCTATTCTAAGGGGCGATGTTCAAAATTATTTATATATTTCTTTTTTTTAGGAGAGAATTTAAAGTAAGTTTAGATACGTTTGCACAAAATTTTAGGAGGATTTTGTTAATTAATTTTATAATTTTTTTTTTTTTTTGCGAATTTTAAAACGGCGTATTTCGAATATTGTATTTTTTCCTTTCAAAATTTGTCATTCGACGCCTCGAATATTCTAGGATATTCTAAGAAGCGATGTTCAAAATTATTTATATATTTCTTTTTTTTAAGAGAGAATTTAAAGTAAGTTTAGATACGTTTACACAAAATTTTAGGAGGATTCTCTTAATTAATTTTATAATTTTTTTTTTTTTTTTGCGAATTTTAAAACAGCGTATCTCGAGTTCCACGTTAATTGTTCAAATTGATAGAAATTGTAAAGTTTCTTCGCGGAAAACTTTTTCCATTTTCTTAACCGTAACCAGCAGTTGGGATAGAATTTAACACGATTATTGGACGTGGATGAATTCTAATTTTGTTTCAAACATCGTTGAACAACACCTTTCGTGAAAATTTATTCAGATAAAACAGTGCAATTTAACTCGTAACTTGTTCCTATTCGACGAGAAAATAACTTGTTCCCACTCGTCCTCATCGTTTTCATAGCGGCAAATTTAAAAATTTAAAAAACTCAATCGTCTCGAAACTTTCAAGATCGATCGATTTCAAAATCCAAAGTATCGAAGGATTAATATATTCCATCCATGATGTAATCCATCGTCGAGGAATCGACTCGAACGTATAATCATCGATCGTGAAAATCGAATCGAACAGAATCACGTTTTATTTTCAACGAAACGTTCGAAATATTTTACATCACCCGTCGCTCGAAACCTCGAAGAACGTTCCCTCTTTCGATCGACGACGGGGTGGCCTGTCGATTGAATGGAGGAAATCTGGTAATCCCATCGCATGGGCTGGGCTGAACGAGTTATCGGATTATCCGACCACGGATTTTACGAAGCGAAAAAAAAAAAAAGAAAGAAAGAAAGAAAGAGAGAAAGGAAGAAAAATAAGGAAGGGGAGGGTGGAAAAAGCGATCCGCCATGTGCGGCGACCGCGTAACACTCGAGAACGCTGTGCTCGTCTTACAACTGGAGCAAATATATTACATCGCGTGATCAGAGGCATGCATCAGTAGCTTGCGGTACGGTAAACGAAATACACGTGCGGTTCGATTTTAATCACGAACGACGTCAGTCGTTGCGGATCGGGACAGATCGTTCTCTCTGGCCGCGTTTTTTCAAGGAAAAAATCTCGTCGTCTCTTTCTTAAATTTGAAAATATGCATTTTTAAAAAATGGAAAAGGAAAAGTGAGAGGAATGCAAAGGAAGAAATGAAGGATTCGTTATTTTAATGGTTAGTTAGCAATTTTAGGGAAGGGAACGTTTTCGAAACGAGATCGAGGATGAATTGGAGGATTTTAGTCGTTGGATTTTCGATGATGGTGGCGATGATGGTGGATATTTGTACGGCGAATAACGATACTTGGGACAAGATTCACGAGAAAAAGGCGAGGTTAGTGAAGAAATTGAAGAAGGACTTCCGGAAGTTGAAGAAGCAGGAAGGAGCCGTGAAGTTGGTGGGCAGCGAGAACGGTGGACACGAAGGTAACAATTCTTCTTCCGAAGCTTTGAAATCGAAACATTTTTTTTTTTTTTGTCCAAGAAATCTTTTAATTCTCGAAAGATTTAAAATTGATCTTCTTGAAAACAATTTTTTAGCAACTTTAAAGAGTTCGATAATTTTTACGAGAGTTGAAAATCATCGAAAAATTGGCAATTCAAAGATATTCCGTCATAAATTCAAAATTTATTCGTTGAACCGTCGTGAAAATGGGAAAATTCGCGATAAAAATTTTAAATTTCGCGCCCCGCTAAGCGATCCCCGACGGATCGGCCAATAATATCGCGCGATTAAAATAAAATGGTCGCCCATCCACCGT